TTTGTAAAATACTTTCTGCGCATATATCATCGATCAAATCGACAAAGCTACAAACATTGAATTCCTGAGCTTTGAAATAGTTTAGAGTTGTTATTATCAACCAACATTGAAGTTTATTGCTGAGTAACAATTCTTAGAGCTATATTTATTAGTAACCTTTTTTAAAGAATCAAAAGTTCATTCATAAGCAAAACTTTTTACTAGAAGTTTTGACTCGCAGGACGATCTGTATTTAAATGGGAAAAAAGCGATCGTCAAATGCATGGATAAAACGTAGCCGAAATCTGAGTAAATTCTGTTCGGAAATTGTCATTCTATGTAAAATATATAATATCATTCAAAAAAGGCAGTCATTAGAAAATACAAGCCATATTGAATTATGTTTAACAATAAGATACATTGGAAAACGGGCCTAAGGGCTAAATGTTTTTTGAAAGGGGTGGGGTTAAAGATAGTGACAAATAAAATGTACGTTTAAAGATTTGACAAGCATTAAAATGTTCTAACTAGAGAAATCATTTTTACTTTTTTCAATATCATATTTTATTCACAAAGTACCAGATATTCCCCTTTGGCCATGCTGCAACAAAAAGCAAGAACACACCATTCATAACATTTCAACAATAAAGTTACATATATCAAACAAGAAGCCCAGGGGCCACATCGCTAAACTGAGCAATTGGCTAGGAAAAAGCACATATCAGATCAGAACTGAAAGTTTACTGAGGTAAGGAGGGGGGGGGGTGAATTTCAACCCCCAGGGTGTCATAATTTGCGCAAACTAGAATCTACACTACCTAAAGATGATTTTTTATAACTTAGCATGGCTGGCCCATTTTGACCCCGGGGGTTCATAATTTTAACAAACTTGATTCTACACTACCTGAGGATGATTACACATGATTTTCCTCTTTCCTGGCCCAGTGGATATTGAGCAGATTTTTAAAGATTTTTCCTATATATTCCTATGTAAAACTTTGATCGGCCATTTTGGTCCTACCCTACCCCGGGAGTCATGATTTGAAGAAATTTGTATCTACACAACCAGAAGATGATTCCATATGAATTTTATCTTTCTTAGCCTAATGATTCTTGAGAAGAAGATCTTTTAAGATTTTTCCTATACATTCCTATGTAAAAGTTTGATCAGCCATTATGACCCCAACCTACCCCGGGGGGTCATGATTTTAACAACCTTGAATCTACACTATCTGAGGATAGTTTCATCTTTCCTGTCTCAATGGTTCTTGAGAAGAATAATTTTTAGGATTTTTTCTATAAATTCCTATGTAAAACTTTGATCGGCTATTTTAGCCCACCCTTCTCCTGGGGTCATGATTTGAACAAATGTGTATCTACACTACCTGAAGATGATTCCATATGAATTTCATCTTTCCTTGCCCAAAAATTCTTGAGAATTATATTTTTAAAGATTTTTTCTATACATTCCTACGTAAAAGTTTGATCAGCCTATATGGTCCCAACCTACCCCGGGGGGTCATGATTTAAACAAACTTGAATCTACACTACCTGAGGGTAAATTCACACCCGTTTCATCTTTCTTGTCTCAATGGTTCTTGAGAAGAAGAATTTTAAAGAATTTTCCTGTGCATTCCTATGTAAAACTTTGCTCGGCAATTTTAGCCCCACCCTTTTCCCCGGGGTCATGATTTGAACAAACTTGAATCTACAATACCTGAGGATTACTCAACATGAGTATCATCTTTCCTGTCCCAATGGCTCTTGAGAAGAAGAATTTTAAAGATTTTTCCTTTATATTCTTATTAAAAACTTTGATCGGTCATTTTGGCTCCACCCTTGCCCCAGGCGTCATGATTTGAATAAATTTAAATCTACACTACCAGAGGATGAATCCACATGAGTTCCATCTTTCTTGGCCCAGTGGTTCTTGAAAAGAAGATTTTTTGAAAATGCCATTAATTTTTCGCTACCAGTAATTCATAATTATCTCCCCTTGGAAGAGGGAGTGGCCCCTTATTTGAAAAATTTGAATCCCCTTTACCTAAGAATACTTTGTGACAAGTTTGATTGAAATTGGCCCAGTGGTTCTTGAAAAAAGATGAAAATGTGAAAAGTTTACGACGACAACGAAAACATCAACAACCACAGCGACGTTAGACAACGGACAAATTTTGATCAGAAAAGCTCACTTGAGCCTTTGGCTCAGGTGAGCTAAAAATAAGTGGAAGGAAGCAGCGCATTTATCCAGACGAGATCAGAGGCAATAAAAATATAAATTGAATTTGGTTTAATAAAGTAAACTATCATTACTTGAACCACAGGAGTTGGCATTAGTTCTCTCTGACATGTATTTCAAACATTACACATTTCTATACCATTTTCCCCAAAATTTTCAGTAAATATTTTCTGTTCAAAAATTACTATGATATTACAAGAATAACGTATTTTAATACATTATGCCAACTCTTGTGATTTGTATTTTTACAATAGGGCATATAACATATTTATTTGTGTATTGAAAATTTCCGTTTTATAGATATGCAAACTCATGATATTGTACAGTCATTCCATGGACAATACAGGTCCGTAGAAAGCTATTTCAAATTTAATTAGGGGAAGAGCGATATGCTACAAGGAAACAGCTACAAGAATCCTTCAAGTTGACAAGCTTTTTTATTGATTTATTGAGGGTGCACAAACTTACAAGGTACATAATACAGCTTTTTTTTATAGTATACTGTACATCGACAAGTTCTATAGTATACATATATATATCATATATATTGGCAATATCTGTAAATATGAAACAAAGATATGACTCTAAATATTTGTTTCTGCAGAAGCAAATAAAAAAAAACACTATTACACATCGAATTAGGAATATTACAGTCATCCAACATCATTGAAAAAACCGAGATTACGGTAATTTTAATGTTTCGTTACGGTCATCATTTTCAGAAACTTTGAGACCAGACTACAGCTTTATTTTCTTAGTTTAAGAATGCTACTATTTCGGCATAGTATGCTTAAGCTGCATAAATCCTTTGAACACTACGAAAGTTGTTGGGTAGAGATTATATAGAGACAAACAGACAGGAAGCATAATAGTGTAAAACACATTTTTTCTTTAATTGTTTATCTTCTCAAACCATTATGAAATTTTTATAATATTGAATAATTTTGTGGTGTAAACGGCAGTTTGGTGTCAACGGACTAGTTTTATACACTTCTTCTTAGCAAACAAATAGAATGATTATGTACTTTCATTATCGGATAAAAAAAGACGATAAAATATTTCATATTTGTGATGTTTCAGGTTCACAGGGTCCATCTAGCTACTGATAAGGTTTTAGTTATCTTTCGTTCTGTTTGTTGAATGATAAGAGCTGGGCAAGTATGCAACAGATAATGTTTGTGCAGAAAAATCAGTGGTGTATCATACATGTATCCTTAACATATATCAATCACATTGGTTAATAAATCCTTTCAAATACTATGTAAAATTTATCAAAGTCAGTGAAAAATTTCAATATGACAAACAACCTTTTGAAAAATGGTTAATTTTTATTTCTTATACCTAAGCTCATCAATTTTACATGATTCAAGATAAGCTGTGAAGAAAAAGTAAATATTTTCAAACAAAATGAACCTCGAGCTCTTTTTTGTCATTTGAGTGAGTTTAAGGTGATTATATATATATGTAGGATCCCAAAATGCAATGGGACTCCAAAGTCTGAAGGTCACGCCAAACCACGATGGTATGACATAAAAAAGTCCGATGGTGCGGAAAACAGTTAATGTTTATGACCTCAAAGTACTACTGAGCAAAAATGCAATACCGTGCAATGTCAAGAACCCATTGTTTTAATTTAAAACAATTTCAAATGCAGATAATAACTCCCATTTTTGGATAGTGGTGCATAAGACTAACCCTAAAAAGTTGAAAAGTATGTGAGAACGAAATCTTGATTGGGTGCTGAACTACCCCTAATCAGTCGAATAAATGTGCAAGGACTACAGTATCCAAAAATCTCTCAGGTGGGTTTCAAGAAGCTCACTTTCAATCCATAAGTGTGCAAGGAGTAGGCCTTATCTGTCACGTGATGTGTGAGTACTAACTCTAATATCTCTGATAAGTGCTACATGTAGCAATAAGCAAAATAATTCAAATTTTATAAGAGGACAAATACTGAATTTACGACTTTTTAAATGCTAGGACAAGAGCGTCAACGATTGGCGTGATGTCATACACATTGATTGTTCCACTGCATCATTGGACATTTTGCGTGTCGGACCATCGCATTTTAGCGTTGGAAACGAGCCATCGAACTTAGATGTCCGTAAAGACAATGAGCAATCGGACTCTAGCGAAGCCATTGTACTTTCAATTGGAGTCTTACAGTCATATATATTTTAATATGGAAGAAAAATCCCATGACCTCCTTGTAGAAATGACTTGCTATAATTCATGTAAAATACAACCATGTGCTTTTGCTAGACTAGAAAAATCATTTCTTTGGTAAAATACTACACATGTAATTCAATATTATCTAAAATATTTAATCATCGAACGAACTTTCCTAGCCCCTCTTATATTAATTTTCTACTGAATAATGTATAAAAATCAATTTGACTGCAGGATCTTTTGTTTAAATGATTGATTGATTAATTGTATGTTGCTATAACTTCCCTCTCGAGAATTTTTCACTCATATGGACACGCCACCATTTGCCGATCGAGGGCTACGAATTTTGTTCTATGCTCGGCACTTAGGGCCTTTCAGCAGTGAGGGATCTTTTTCGTGCCAGCACCGTCTGCGAAATGGGGCCTCGTTTTGTTCGGTCTTATCCGCGTGCCACACTTGGATTCGAACCCGCGACGTAAGGATTGATTTCTTACTTCGCGACTCTATAGCAGACCTCTAACCACTACGCCACGTGGGTGAATTTAATTAATTGAAGTATTGCTGATAATTTCAGGTGAAATAAAATTAAAAATAAAGATTCATGAAAACGTACCTGATATACTTGTTTTCCATATCTCATAGCCTCCAATTAATCGACTTCCTGGAATTGCACAAAAAACATGAAAGATGTGACTCTCTCTCTCTCTCTCTCTCTCTCTCTCTCTCTCTCATTTGAATAACATTAACAGATACCAAATCTAAAAATGCAAAATGTTGCCATTTACAGTAAGAACACGTTTCGACGTTTCGAAACGTATCGAGTTTTCTTTTTTTTTTCCTCTACACATTTTAATAAAAGTAAGAATAAATAGGTCCAAGAACTGGCATCATCTAAAAGTCATGCTTTCAATAAGATTGATAATGTTTCTCTTTAGAAAAAAACACAGATTTAAAATTAATTTAATTATATTAGTATTTTCAAAGATTTTTCCTATATATTTTATGTAAAACTTTGATCCCCCCATTGTGGCTCCACCCTTCTCCTTGGGGTCATGATTTGAACAATTTAGAATCTACACTACCCTAGGATGCTTCCACATAAGTTTCAGCTTTTCTGGCCCAGTAGTTCTTGAGAAAAAGATTTTCAAATATTTTTCCTATTTATTTCTATGTAAAACTTTGATTCCCCATTGTGGCCCCGCCCTTCCCCTGGGGTTAATGATTTGAACAATTTAATATCTACACTGCCCTAGGATGCTTTCACTATAAGTTTCAGCTTTTCTGGCCCAGTGGTTCTTGAGATTTTTTAATGACCCCACCCTATTTATGTCTTTTCTTGATTATCTCCCCTTGCGAGGGGATATGTCCCTTCATTTTAACAATTTAAATTCCCCTTCACCCAAGGATGCTTTGTACCAAGTTTGGTAAAAATTGGCCCAGTGGTTCTTGAGAAGAAGTCGAAAATGTGAAAAGTTTACAGACAGACAGACGGACAGACAGACAGACAGACGGACGGACGACGGACAAAATGTGATCAGAAAAGCTCACTTGAGCCTTCGGCTCAGGTGAGTAAAAACATGTAGAATTTCTAGAATGTAGGGGTTTAAGGACTTCACAGTTTACATGCACAACATAAATATATGTGCGATTTTTTATGATAAAAACACACTCTTTGAAAAGATGGCTTTAATGATTTTCTGATATGAAATAAATAAGGATTTGTATTCTGGGAGAAAGATACGTGTGTTGCAACCACTATCGAAATAACGACGACTATTGAAATAATTATATCAATAGTGGTTGAGAGTGCATTTCAATAGCAAACATAGTTAGTAACCACTATTGAAATACAACCACTATTGAAATAAGTATATCAATAGTGGTTGAGAGTGCATTTCAATAACAAGCATAGTTAGTAACCACTATTGAAATACGACCACTATTGAAATAATTGTATCAATAGTGGTTAAGAGTGCATTTCAAAAACAAACATAGATATTAACCACTATTGAAATACGACCAGTATTGAAATAATTACTTCAATAGTGGGTGAGAGAGCATTTCAATATGATAACCATATGTTTCAAACACTATAGAAATACGAGCACTATTGAAATAATTATCTAATAGCGGGGAACAGTGCTTTTCAATATGATTACCATAGGTATTGAAATACGACCAGTATTGAAAGAAAAGTTTCACCACAAAATTTTTAATTTTTCATCCAAAATTTTACAAGAATTAGATTTGGGGTGGAAAACATACTCTTAACAAAACTTCTAAGTGTTCACTTTAATAAATGTATTTATTTAAAAACTACGTTGTAGAATGGTGTGATATTTTCAAATTATAACAACAAATGAGTCTTCTCAACAATTGTTTGAAGAAAATCAATGATCACTGATGAAAACCAGTGTTCCGTGACGAAGCTTAAAAACAATAAATCTGTACTACGCGGCACGTGTTTTGGGTAATAAGTATCTTTTTGTGATCATTATCAAATTTTGAAAAATGGTTTCACTAAAAAACACATAATATTGGCAAACTGACCCTTTAGATAGAAGGGAAAGCCGTTGGAATGTTGATATCTGGACAATTTTTGCACCAAGTTTTACTCACTTTTATTTTCGTACTTAATTATACTTGATATTACTTTTGAAAATTAACAACCAGTATCAAAACCCATTTTAACACTTTTTTCTATAGGCTGTGTGTCATTTTTCATCACCAATTTATCACAATTTGAAGGTTTTTGACAAATTTTAACCAAACCGGAAGTTACCTTGATTTTCTTCTGAGGCCAAATTTCGATTCACACCATGTTAAAAGAGTATTAAATAGTCCTGAAACAATCTTAGAAACATGAAAACAAATAATTTCAATCGTACGAGAATGATCAGAAATCTGTGCTCGTGACAGTCTAATATCAGCTCAAGCAGTCTGAATTATTCTTAAAGAGGTGCACTTACGTGCTAAACACCCTAGGATATTGACCAAAAGGTATCTGTGTGATGCTACACTCTCAAATTCCCAGATCTGAATCCAATTTTAAACATTTGGGATTTTATAAGAAATGTCACCCCCCCCCTTTTCCACACAATTTCAACGGTTTGGAAAGATCTAAACAGTAGGTGTGGCAACAGATGGGCCAATCTCCTATTCAGGGGTACATGGTATTCAACTGTAATTACAGTCTTGTAGTAATTAGAGCGAGTGGTGGTCTTACTCCATAGATATTATTCTATGTGAATTTTCATTTTGAGGGTTCTTCGTTTCCTTGACACTTTGCTTAAAATTCTGACGAGATACTTACATGAAATTTACGCAGAATCCAACTCTAAATAGCGTCATTAATCAAGAATTAAAGAAATAATTTATTGTTTGCATTTGTTCTTTAAAACTTCAAAAATGTTAGGTGAACACTTAGAAGTTTGGTTCAGTGTATAGGTTAGTAATTATAGTGTATAAATAAATACGGAAGGTTTACAATTTTACAACTACTTTATATTCTAGAAATATATTATTTGCATCATTTTCAATGAAATCAGACCAAAAAAATATATACAAATCCATGCATCCATATTTTGTTTGTATCATCTGTCCTTAAATTAAGATATAGATAGTGATTTAAATAATTATTTTGATAGTTGCTGGTAATATTACAAAACTAAAACCATAATTCAATCCATGAAATTTTTATATCAAAAGTGAACATTATTTCAATAGTGGTTGCAACCTATGTTTGTTATTGAATTGAATCTCACCAACTATTGAAATAATTATTTCAATAGTAGTCGTATTTCAGTAGTGGTTATTACATATGTGTGTTATTAGAGATTGTTCTATCTAACGTATCCGTATCCGTATACGTATCCGTATCGAGGTATGAGAGGCATCTCGATCCCGATGCTTAAACCATCTAGTTACATTTCCATCGTTTCATGTTTGGTTTTTAATCTCATTCACTAAGAAATGATATGTAGTGTGATATTTTTAATAAAAACAAATCAGTTGCCTTAGTTACACGCCTTATGCATCCTGTTTAGGGGGGGGGGGGTTTAAAAATAAAATTCGAAAAACAAACTTGTATGTTTATATTTCATTTAAGTGAGTAAAAAATATTTCGAAAATATTTCTAGATTCACCTCTCTCTCTCCCTCGCTCGCTCTTTCTCTCTCGCTCTTTCTCTCTCTCTCGATCTCTCTCTTTATATTAGGGTATTCATTGTTCATTCTCGAATTAACATTTACAAGAGCACGACATATCTCCAATAATATATAATTATATATTCAGATAAACCTCTTAAAGTTAAACTTGTAAACTGTAAATAAATGTAGTTGTACATAAACTGGGAAAGATTTAACCATACATTGTAAGGCAAAACAAATGTGTATGGGTGATTCACTGATGTCCATCCTCTTTTCCTTTTTTATCATCTTCTATGCCATTCATTATCAGGTATTTGATGGTCATAGTTCCCCCCAAAAATTTGGATAATTGTGGTGCGGTTTGAATACACTCCCTAAATTGTAGGTCGATAGCCGTATCATGGGCGGTGAAAGCAAATAGAAAGTGGGGGCGCTAATTGAAAAAGGGGGGGGGGCTTAACCAACCAAAAAAAATAAACCCCAATTTTAAATGCCTATATTATGTCTATCTTTGACAAAAAAGTGGGACGGGGGATTAACCCCCCCCCCCCCCGGTTCCTACTCCGATGCGTATATATGGTTTCAAGGAGCTTGTGAATTGAACATGATCGAGTTTATAGTGAACAAAGCAAGCTCAGAAAAACTTTGATATTTTCTCATTGTAATTTTTCTTTAATGTGTGATTTTTTGTCTCGGCTACATTAAAGCAGTTCCTTCTCTTCATGATCAGTTCTATAATTTGTTCACACTGATCTCGATCTCGGCCAAATTATATATATATAAAAAGAAAGTAGGATAAAAAAGAAAAGAAAATTAGCACGATGAACATGTAGGTTTAGCAAAATAAGATGTATTATTTTGAAAAATTTGAGCCATAATTATTATTTTATTCTTTACATAAAAAGAGAGTTGAATACCGTATTATGAAATAGATTTATATAAAACCACAAATGATGTTAATAAATAAAAGTCAAAAGATGTTTAACTTACTTTTTTGTTTGTCAAAGATTTTCAGGGCTGTTTTTTTCTCTTTCAAATAGCCCCCTTCCTACTTTTAATTTGCTTCTGACGCCAATGTGAGGGGAGGGGAAAGGAGGGAGTTACATGGGCTCTTCAAAGCATATACTCAATACTTATAACGGTCCTAAAGCTAATTCTGAAATCAGTTTGAACAGTCTCTTTAAAAACGACTACAGCGTTTTACCGATTGCGTTGATGATTTTATTGATGACAACATATTTTTTATGTGTGTGTGTGTGTGTGTGAGGGAGAGGGTGTGTGTGTGTGTATGTGTGTGTGGAGGGAGGGGGGAAGGGGGTAATTGGTAAGCCGTTACATGGCATATGAATAATACAGACAAAATCTATAAATGATATTAAGCGAGTGGAAAAAGAGAAAGGTGATTTCCTACAAATATTTTGAAGTAAAATGAAATTAATTTCAAAACAATATAATTAAAACAAAATATTTTATACTTGACTTCATTTTCTTTCTTTTTTAAATAAATATTTTTTACGAAATGATAGAGATGTACAGCAGATTATTATTTTTAATACAAAAATTGCTATTTGCTATTTTCTAATGCATGGACTGTGGCTTATTTAACCACAAACAGAGATGGAAAATGTATTAATTGGTTTAGACATCGGGATCGAGATGCCTCTCATACCTCGATACGGATACGGATACGTATACGGATACGGATGCGTCAGATAGAACAATCTCTATTAAAATACACTCTCAACCACTATTGATAAAATTATTTCAATAGTGGTCGTATTTCAATAGTGGTTATTACATATGTGTGTTATTGAAATGCACTCTCAACCACTATTGATATAATTATTTCAATAGTGGTCGTATTTCAATAGTGGTTATTACATATGTGTGTTATTGAAATGCACTCTCAACCACTATTGATATAATTATTTCAATAGTGGTTGTATTTCAATAGTGGTTACTAACTATGTTTGTTACTGAAATGCACTCTCAACCACGATTGATATGATTATTTCAATAGTGGTCGTTATTTCAATAGTGGTTGCAACATACGTGTCTACTTAGATTTTTGTATTTAATTGTTACAATCATATTTGTAAGATTGCTTGCTGTGTTTTTGGCTTGACAACTACGTTTTATGTTTAGAATTTCAAGTATTGTCGCTCTCGTTGTACTCTTAGTTTAAAATATCTTAAAAGTGCATCCTAGTAGAATTTTTCTTAGACGTTGATTACTTGGCACATTGAAATTTTGAAAATACTTATCCTGTGTTACAACACGCTTTGTTAAAATAACGCACTTTGAAAAATAAAATTCAAAGTGTGTTCAATTTAGATCCAACTGAAGTAAATGCATTTCGATAAAATAAAAATTTCTTTGTAAAGTACCCAAATTTCAATCATATTAATTCTTTTTGAATAAAAAAGTGTATTGCTTAGTAATTTTCTTTCATGTCGTTAGGTTTGAAAAATAATTGGCCCTGATTGGTAAACTTTTCGGTATTAAAGTCACTTCAAGATCTGAGATATAGAGATTACAATATATTATATTGTTGTGGTATTTGGTATAAAAGGGAAATGGAGAAATGAGCACTGTTGAATAGCATAATTTCGTTTCTTTTAATGTTTAAATTATGGAGTCTGTATTTACTTAACATGTATTACAATGCACTTTGAACAAAAATGTAGATGTAGGAGGTAGGGAGGGGTGCTCGACTTAAAACATTCTAATTTTCTGGAGAAATAGGGAGTAGTTGTAACCTTCCATATTATGAAATTTTTTTTTCTACTTTCATAAGTGGGGATAAAGGCAACAGACTGTTATTACATGTATTAACTTTGTTGTATTTTTTTTCTATGATTGAATATCTAAACATCGTCGAAGAGGGGCTAACAAGGTTTCCAACAAACAGTGAGGGTGATATTGAAGCAAAACACTACATAGAACTAAACATCCTCCAATCTGTATTATACCATCTCACCGCCAAAAACTGTCAAATTGAATGAAATGTAGGCTATTATTAAGGTGACACTGTCCTATTTTGTAAAGGGGCCAGTTTCCGTAAGACCTATTTATTCGAAAGATTTTTTTTTTAAAATAAGATTTATAGAAGAAAACATCCAAACCAAATATCATCTTATGAACTATACTAGTATCAAGAATATTCCTGAAATAATTCTTTAACTTCTCGTCATTTTTTTTTTACTTATGAAGCACAACACCGTTGTCACCTGCATACGGAGTTTATATCTCGTAGTTGATTGGATACGCAAGAACATGACCTATCTGTGCACAATATCGGAAACGAGGCAGCTTATTTACAAACAAGTTTATGAAACAATGATATCAACAGTCTCGTTTAAAATCACTTTATAGTTCTAAAATTTATATTATGACCTTGTAAACAAATATTTACCATTGAATCAAAAATATCGTCAGTCCATTTTTTATATACTTGTTTGAAAAGGGATATATATCCCGATCACGACAGGAGCAATTTGAAAGTGGATGCCCAGTCCATGACACCTGATCCCACCTCTGATCAATGTTTCGGAGGTCCGTGTTTGTTCTGCTGCAATTATAATAGTTTAATGGACTTTTGAGCTTGAATATTGCTCGTTATCTCCATATATTTCATTTCAATTTGAAAGAGGAAAAGAATCTGACACAGTAGAATGACATTTTATTGTTAATTTTTTGAAAATATTTGAATGTGGTAAACTCTTTGGACACTGTGTTCAAATAATATCTATAAATATATTCAGCAGAGAAATAAATAATGGATATACAACTTGATTTTCAAATTAAATAGGTGGTTGAGATATCACAGAACTTGTTCATTTTTTATGTAGATATGCTTGCAAAAACCATAGAAGTAAATAAAAATATGTTAGTCTTAAAAATGGAGAGACTGAATTTTAAATTAGCCATTACACAACATGCTTTCTAATTGAACAAAAGTCGGGAATTACATTAAATTGTATTAAATAATTTTAGTATTGTTGTGGACGGAAATTAACTTGAGTAAAACAGGAGAGTTCAATTAGGTTTTAAACTAACACGATTTAATTTTCTTAATTATTGACAAACAACTTGATGAAACATACTAAAATACACTCAGATAATGGCAAATGCGTCATTATCCATATAGAAAGGCGTCACTCCTTTGGATCAATAAGAGACACAAATTCAAGGAGTTCATTTGATGTTCCTTATAGTTGGCCATAGATATTAACCTGATAAATTTCGTTTCAGTATGTGCAACGGTTGTGAAGAAAAAGAACGGAAACTAACTGGACCGACAGACCGACCGACAGACAGCAGCAAAGCAATATGCCCTCCCTTCTTCGAAGGAGGGGGGATAAATATGTCAGAAGGTATTTTACACCAGACACGTATACACTGTACATAGCATTACATGTAAGTGTGGCATTTTTTCCCAAGCATATAATTTGTTTTTAACTGTTGATTTAAATTCCAGTTTGTCCCTGGGGTAGTAGTATGTGTGATAAAAAGAATTATTAAGGAGTTCATCTGATGTTCCTCGGATAATCCTCAGGGATGTTAAGCACATGTCATATGTACAGTCTTCAGATTCATAGTTTTAGTATAAAACCAATAGCTCATACAAAAATTGCGACAAGGGACCTCGGTTTATTCGGTCTCATCCGAAAGAACTAGTCTATACTTTCAACAGTGGGATTTGAACCTGCTATGTTAGGATCAACACCTTACTTCGCAACTCTTGAGCAGACTCTCTAACTACTGTGCCATGAAAAATGGTTATAAGGAACAGTTTTCAAGCTCAAAAGTCCATTATAGCAATACGAATGAGGGGCAGAGCAAATACAGATCTTAATTACGTCAAGTGGTATCAGGTTCTGTAAAGAAGTGAACATCTCTTGCCGACTGAACACACCCTCCGTCTGATCCGGAAATAACGAGATAATCAACATTTCAACGCATGATGCTCGTGCATTTATACAGTAAACGTATACTAATATTCACCATTATAATTTAAATAGTCTTCTAAAATTAGTATAGGACCACAGAAGTTGAATAATTGCACACACCGTGTGTTATTGTGTTATGATTAAAAAAAACGTACCATATCTTTGTTCAGGGAAAATATTCATTGGAATTAACCTCTGTGACTCTTCATCAGCGTCTTCTGTTTTTCTTGGATCTATAAAAAATCTCACATTTTTTAATTGTCAGAATTTGAACTGGATAGTTGTAACGGTTTGTGATACTAACAAAGGGCTTGGGTTTATATAGTTTTGAATTTTTTTTAGAGAAACAGGAAGTATTTGTTTTTAAATTCATTAAGTTTCTCTCGTAGACTTTGCATAAATAAAAGGCTTCAACAACTCAACAAATTAGGAGACAAAATATTCCTATATTGCTATTGTGATTGAAATTGCTAATTTGGGTTACATTTTGTGAAAATGAACGTTTTAAATATCTGTTGAAAAGTAAAAAGAGCAATGAAAAAGTAAAAAAAAAACAAGTAACAGAGTTATCTAAAATATATAGACTCTTGTAATAGAGGATAACTTTTATATTGATATAGAAATGGACTGAAGAATAATTACCTTTAATTTAATTTTTTGATAAGTCTTGGGATTTCAAAAGTCAAGGTAAGAAATAAAATAATAAACATAAACATTTCAAGAGGTCTTTTTACAGAAAGATGGAAACACCTAAATATGTTACTTAAACAAAAAATAAGGCATATTAATGTCAAACTTTATAAATAACTACAATGCTTATGGAAGTGTGACCAATTCATAGAAAACAATAAAATAGTGTATATACCATTTTTTAAGAAAAAATTTCAATTTGTGTACTTTCCATTTGTACTAATTAAAAACTCAGACAAAAAGTAACACCGTATGCAGCGTTTACGCTTGAAGAGCGTGCAAAAGCAGACAGTATGGCGTCTGCAGGGGGTTCCCTTAAAGACATCTGTAAAAAATAAAAACAATAAAAAGCTAATGAATTCCACTCATGAAAAATTGTTCCAAATAAATTAACCCCCCTTCCCCACAGTAACGCATTTTAACGCATATAGCATTTCCTATTTCTAACGCAAAATCACTCATATACCCTTTCCCCGCAATCACGCATTTTCATACACTTTAAAAAGTTCATGTAATCTTAAATTTTATACCGATTTCCTTCTATTTTATGCTTGCAAAAATTTCAAAAAGTAAGAAAAGTTATATTGGTATTTAAATATTACGTCATAATATTATTTACGCTAAATTGTATGAAAACGTGTACCGCGCTATAAGGTGCTTGCGGGGAAATGGTAAATTTTTTATTTCTATCACGTGATCATTAAGTGTATGTTGCATAACAGTTCAGTAAGTTATAAAAAGCTAATGAATTCCACTCATTAAAAATTGTTCCAAATAGATTAACAAACATAAAATTGTTTACTCTAGATAACCACGACATTAAGTTAGCAGCATACAATAAGTTGAAAATAGTTCCAAAAACTGGGTCAACCTGAAGTGAAGTCGATTTGGTATGGACACTAAGGTATCAGATGATAACTAGGAGATATGAGAGTCAATGACTGTTTGTTATTTGATTTAACTGGGGGAATACTCCTGTGACAATCTCACAGACCCCTTTAGTATTCAAGAATTTCATACATGTAGAAAAATGATGCGCAGTGCACAGCTGGAAATTCAAAAAATAAAAATTTACAAGTGGTGCGTTAGCAATTTTGTCTAGTGTACTTGTTTTCCATATGTCATAGCCTCCAGTAAATGGATCTTCTTGAGCTGTACAAAAACATATTAGATGAAGGTTGTCTCTCTCTCATTCACTCCTCTATGGCACATGATCCCACCTCTGATGTTTCGGAGGTCCGTGTTTGCTCTGCTCTTATTTTGTATTGTTTTATGGAATTTGAAATTGAATACTGTTCGTTATCTTCATATCCTTTTACTCTCATCTATTTGAATAACATCCACAGATACCAAATATGAAAATGTAAAATGTTGCCCTGTACATTAAGTACACTTGTATCGAGTTTCGAATTTCTATTTAGTCTTCTAGACACCTAAAAGTAAGAATTGATTCGTCTTAGATACAATGTATGATACGATCTAATAAAAAATATATGCATGATTTGAATAAGGTTTAATAATGCTTCTCTGTTTGAAAAATACAGATTTTTAAAGTAGTTAAGTACATGTAGTAGACTATCTAGACTGGGACGGATTAGAGACTGAAGAGTTTACGTGCACATAGAAATATCTGTGATTTTTTGTGATGAAGAACAATTATTTTACAAGATGGTTTTAATACTTTTCTTGTGATATGGACGAATAGAATATGGTTAAAATAACATGTTAATTAGTATTATATTTAAAAGAAGAGGCCAAGGGGCCACATCACTCTCAACTATTCTTGAAAAGAAGATTTTTAAAGATTTTTTCTATATATTCCGATTAAAAAAAATGGATCATTTTCAACTATGACGTCATATATTTGTAGTTCAAAGAAGTGAATTCACAGTGTACACTGCAAAAGGGAAGATTACGGAGTACACTTCATTGGGAGGTCTTAACGTATCTGCGTATTAAAACTGCTAACATGTAAGTTTCCTTTGACACAGTAAAATCATTCAGTGCTAAAATTTGTAAAAATAAAAAAAAATTCAATAACATATCAGCTTTAACAATATTACATCCAACATGATTTTTCTTGCTATTGCCTTCTTAAACAGAATTGCTTACTGCTTCAGTGATGCAACTTTACGTGTTTATATTTTACAATAATGAAAAGGAATACTTTGAAGGTTAAACTTACTAGGGTGTAATACATTATGTTTCATGTTTTCCGTTTCCATTTGACCATACTTTTCGATCAACTCAGTCTTAACCTCCATATCATTCTCTGAATACACTTTGATTTGAAGAATAAAGGCACTGAGGCCAAAATAAAAAATACCTTTGTTTCCCCTAACGCGACAGACCCAATTAAATCGCACCGACTGAAAAGATTTTTCTAAATAAGATGATGCAATTATTTTTTTTTATTGTTAACGAAGTTGTATAAAATTCAATTTTATCAAAATCAGTGTTTATCAGAACGATCGACATTGTTCTAGTGTGATTTTCAAGCATTTGTTTGAAACAAAATGGCGCCCAGATGTGATTGGCCTGAAATATGTAATTAGATCATTAGTATATTAAAGAATGTTCAAAGAATTTATGCATTTCACTATATAACCATTAGAGCCCCACCCTAAAACAGATAATTAGTTCTTCTTAATACAACGGCGACCTCTCAATCTTATGCCTTTATCTAATTAGAATTCTTCATTCTTGAAACAATTCGATAACAAAATTTACCATGACGAATTAAGAGTGTTTCGGAGGTGTCTTGGCGTCTCCATGTGAGTGAATAAATTTTCGAAGGGCACGTCAAACAACAAACAAACGAACCTGTCTGTTGAATTTAAGGTACGTAATACATGGTAAGGCCCGCCTCATGAGCAGATGAGAGGCCCACCTAGTGAACACATTCAATTTCACTAAACATTTTATTTAATTTGAGTCTTGATCTAATAACCAGTTCATCTATGTTCCTATGTTTGCTATATATGGAAACATAGTTCTAAATATGTCTGAATTTTAATCCTGACAAATATAATTGAAATGTGTTTTCTTCATGCCTTTATTTATGGGTAAAAATTCGTGACTATGACATTGTATATAGTATTTTTATCATTTGTAGGTTCGGTTTGGTTAAATTAAATATTGTTTACATACTCTTTCCATATAGTTTTGAAATCATGTTTCAGCTTCCTGAAACGTCCAGTGTATTTTTCTTTAATTAGGCCCTTGAAAATTGGTTGCTTCTTTGCTTTTAATCCTTTCGAGATTTGTTGGGTCGACATTTGAACATTAATCCATTGCTCCAAATTTAGACGTACTCAGCACTTTTTTGCCATTAATCAATGGGGGATTTTTTTAGAACTAGCATCTTCTGCGACACTGGACACAAGTTTTTATGGTCCCTTTTGAAGGATTGTTTTCATAGGGATTTAAACCCGAGACTGAAAATTAGCTACTTACTTCTAAACTCCAAAGCAAAGTGCTCTAGAACCAGTTGCAAATCTCATGGTCCTTAAAAAAGTACAATGATTGTCTAAAAGCACTGGAGGCTGATGGGAGGTTTGAAAAAAATATACTCGGATGTCCGGTCTTTGCGTATTTGAGAAACTTGTCTTTTTTTTTATTTGATTTATATGAAATTAATGTTCCCTGGCGTGAGATATTTCACAAGATCAACTGAATAATAGTTGTGAGTTAATTCTTTATAAATTTTGCTTTTAAACGGCATATGTATGACACTAAGCATTTTGTTCACAAATCGCTTTCTTTTGTACGTTTCTTATTTATAAAGGTCATTTTCCATGAAATTTAATAATGTATTTTCAAAGTTGCTGTCAGATAAAAAAATGTTTACCTACCTATCGACCCAACCTGAGAATTTAAGGTCGGGTTAGGGGAAACAAAAATACTTTTAATTCCGGCCTGATGAGAATTTTCTTAAATTACAATACTTAATAAACACCAATGAAACAGAAATTTATTCAATGAAGGGTTATCCAAGAGTAAGATTTATTGTTGTTTTGACGTCATATGTAATAAACTCCATTCAATATTTGCACTTGTTCATCTACCCCATGTCAAGTGTTTGTTATTACAGTTAATAATAAGAATTAGTATACAGTGAAAATCAGAATACAGTGGACCTTCAGATATCCGGACGCCAGATATCCGGATGCTTCAGTATCCGGACGTTTTTTCATTGGAACGAAATTTTTACATGTTAATCTGTCTTGTTTAACTTGTGATTCAGATATCCGGATGCTTCACATATCCGGACAAATTGGCTGGGAACCAAAGCGTCCGGATAAATGAGGGTCCACTGTATTACCCTTTTCCGATTTCTTTTTCAACCTCTTTATGATGAATACAACTATAAGTACAGCAATGATAACGCCTATTATTACTCCTCCTGTG